GATTTGGGCCAAGTCATAGCTCAAGCGGTTAGTCGCTGGCTTGCCACCGCGGCGACCCGGGTTCAATCCCAAGTCTGGTCAAGTGGGATTTGAGGTGGACAAAGTGGCGCTGGGGCAGGTTTTTTCTGAGTACTTCAGTTTCCCCTGCCAATCTTCATTCCACCAATTGCTCCACAATCACCCTCACCTATCATCTGGGGCTGGTATAATAGCTCAGAAGTGGCGGCAGTACAAGGGACTTAGTTCCACCCCACTAGAAATAATAATAAAAAAAAAAATTCTACATTTTCAATCAAGCTTCCCTTCACATTTTTTTGGCATGTCCTTTAATATCTGTGGAATAAGAAGCAATAATTTACAGTACCTTTTTTTTTATTAAGTCCCTTGTACTGCAGCCACTTCTGGCCTACTGTACCAGCCCCAGACGATAGGTGAGGGTGATTGTAGAGCAATTGGTGGAATGAAGATTGGGAGGGGAAACCGAAGTACTCAGAGAAAACCTGCCCCAGCGCCATTTTGTCCACCACAAATCCCACTTGACCAGACCTGGGATCGAACCCGGGCCACCGTGGTGGGAACTCAGCGACTAACCGCTTGAGTTATGGTGTGGCCCTAAAGTGCCTTAACATATATTAATTTAATTCTTTCTATGACAGGACACCACAAAACAACTGTCTTATTCAAATTCAAGTCTTCTATAATGTGCAAAATTTTCTTTCTTAAATACATGTAATAAAACTCAACGTATGTCAGATGAATATCCCGCCAATGGCACAGATCTGCAGAGACTTCAGTTCACAGAATATATCATAAATGACACAGAGAGAAAATGGTCATTTGCACAATATTCTATATATAATGAAAGGGTTAATCAATCGTTATTCTAAGTACAAGGTATTATAGTCTTTCACTTTGATTTTACAAAGTCGAAAATCTAGTAGCAATTCATAAAATTATATTAAAAGTGATGGCCTTAACCTCTTGTGCCTCAAAGAGTTACTGAAACAGCAAAGGGACATGAATGTTTTGTAAGTGCTAAATTTGACTGCTGAAAGCACAGATATCCGGCATCAATAGTGGACTTTACCTTCCCTAAAGCCAAGCCTATGGACTATTTTAAGGTGTGCCATATTTTCGAAGTTTATCATAACTATAAAAATATTAACACTGTAGTGTAAGTCCACCTAGTAACAGTATATCATGCCCAGATTACAGTTTTCCTAAATGAAGAAAAGCATTTTAATCTCACTGCTTAGTGTTATACACACTACACTCACAAGGGCAACAAGTGTCTCTTGTCTTACTTTAACAGGGTACAAAATGTGTCTTAAACAACTTCAGCCACTACTAACGGCAAGACAAGATGTAACTAAATGTATTGGACTTTCTTTTTCCCATACTACCACTTTCAACTTGGAATCTTCTCACTATTTCCCTCTATTGTGTGTTCCTTCATGGAAACTACCATTATTTCTATTTTCCATTTTACATTTCATCCATTGTTTCACCCTACCATACAATTCAACTGCAACATTTCTTCCAAATTCCTATGATCTTAAAAACAATCTCATGTTTGTTCTTCAATTCCCAAACAGCTGGGTTGTTTTCCTTCATCAAGTGACTTCCATGGGGAGGGAATTGTTTTTCCTAACAAGTTGCTTCTTGTCAACACACACTTGGTTACTTGCTTTGTCTTTACTGTTTGCATCGACTTCCAAACCTTCACCACTGTGGACAGACACAACACATTCATCTTACTACATCAGCATACAAGGCACAGAAATAATACACCTCAACATCAAGCTGCAGCTGTGAACCTGAATCAGAATGGCTTACCATAGCTAACCTTAAAGTTTTCTTCAAGTACATATAACACACTCCAGCTTAAAATTTTATTTTTCTCATGAGTACTTCACAGCAATATGACAACAAACATCTCTGTGGACATCTAGCAACTTGTTCATATTATCTAACTCCATGAAGCAGAGTTCTTCTTGTGAATCTAATGGCTCTCAGTTATTCATGAAATTTCCTAAATTTATGGAATCTGAAGGTACAATACTATGTTCACTGGTCCCTAAGCTATGCCAGATGAATTCAATTCACACCCTTACACCCTAGAACAAAGGGGAGGCAGCAGGTTCCTCTGAAATGTTGGTAACCACCTACAAGAATATAAAAAAACAAACTCTGTGGATTTAGTCCGCAAGAAAGCTATACCAACCGAGTGACCGCTGCTTGTCAGCGAAGTTAGTGCCAACTTTAGCAGATAGTGTGTCACATGGTCAGCGCAACGAATCCCCACGGCCATTAATCTCAGTTTTCTAGATTGGGGCCGCTACTTTCCCATTCAAGTAGCTCCTCAATCATCCTGAGTGGACCACATTCCAGACCCACTACTTATCAGAAAATCTAGTGGTGCCAGGAATCGAACTCGGAACATCTGGATCTGTAGCCAGGAGCTCTGACCACTAGACCACAGAGGTGGTGCATAAAAACCCAGAAGACCACAACATAAATTCTCATGACCACGAAAACATAAAATCACATTACATTTTCAACCTTTAGAATGAATAAAACATAATGTGAATGATTGTGTGTCTGTGTGTATCTGGAATGGGGATTTGTCTCTAAATGGTTAGGATTGTGACTGGAAGACAATCACATAGCCAGCTCTCCATCAGTGGAAAAGTGATGGTGACCTGATAGGAAGTTGGTCCCACATTCCTGAATCTGTATCTATCTTCTCTGTTGATACTTCCTTGATAATTATTTCAATAGCTTCTCTGATAATGGGGATCAGTAGTAATTATAACATTTGTTTTCTTAAAGTCAATACCATATTTAATTTGTAATGTCCGGCAACAGCTGGACATTAGTGCTTCAGTGTTGGTATTTCTTGCACAATGGTGTTCTCTTGGGCTGAGGGGTCTATCAGTTTATCCCATGTGCACTTTGCCACAAGGGCCAGGTACTTGATAATAGCCAGTTCTTTCCACTGAATGTTCCTCATTCTTATCTCAGATTTCAAGTATGATATTCTACTGGTAAGTTTCAGTACAATCTTTAATATTCTCACTGTTCAGTTAATTAATCTTAAATTAGTAGATAATAAAATGATGGAGACCATGTGGTCTGACTTCAATGTTGCAGTGCCCTTTATTTCAGTATTCATGATGGTCTGTATCATGATTCAATGAGCATAACACAGTGCAAGTTGACATACTGTAATTTAATTTCATGGCTGGACTGAGTGAATCCCAGCTTCAGTCATCTGACTTACAAGTTATAATGTTACCACATTCACCCATGAACATAAGTGTGTGTGCACACACTTACACATACAAAAGCATAAAATTCTAGCACCACATTCTTACAGACAAGAATTATTCCTCAGGGTATTCCTTTATCTTACATTAATCCTCACTCACCTGTTAAGCGTAACTTCCCCTGCAATTCCTGGTTCTTGTTTAATGTTTGTAGCAGCAACAATACCATCACCATTACCATCACTAGTAGCAGCAGAAGCCACTATAGACGGTGTTGTGACTGAAACTGTTGATCTTGTTGTCATTGTTATCCTGTTGTAGTTGTGTTGAAAGATGCCTGTTGGTGAGCAAAGCTGCTGAGTTGCAATGAGCAACCGATGGTGATTGCAACCGGAACTAAGCGTAGCAGAGCTAGAAGCAGGATGAGTGGACGGACCTATAGATTGATGGCCAAGCTGGAGCGACGATGTGTAGCATGAATTGGACTGATGCTGGTGATTTCTGTTTGTTTGGACTGACAATCTTGACCTGCTAGTCTCTGAAACTAAAAATGACAATGCACATTAATCTCAGACTACAGAAACAATTCAGTATTTTAAATCAGCATTTAATCCCAGTAAACAATCTTAAACGAGACATGATGTTCTAGGCAGTTATTAGCAATACAAAATCCAAAAATTTTAAGCCTTTCATAAGAATGAATCTTCTAGCAGAATTCTCCTTGCTTCCACTTTCAGGACCATTGTTCCAAATTACACTATGAAACTGACAGTCCACTTCCAATGTCCTATCATACTGTAACGTGTTTGGAGTAGGCACTTCCATGGTAACACAATAACAGTGAGCCACTGTGTACAGAATGCCGAAACAACGAACACATTTCCCCAGAGATGAACAACAGAGAGTTCGTTGCACTCATTGCATAACAACAGACTGTCAGAACAGCGAGAATGGAACCGTGAGGAATGGTATCTAGTATCCGGTCCACATAACACCTATATAAGCAGAGCTTACGATACGTATGAACTATACCCTGGAAATGAAATCAAATGTTGTTCAGAAAACAAACGCTGCTTGCTGAATAATGAACAATAATTAAATCCTTCTGACTGGTAAAGCTAGTTTTAACAAAAATCAACACTTTGCATTTAGACCTCTAGTGTGAGGACCCTTATTTACCTGTAGATATCACCTACACAGTCTCATTTAGGGAGATGTTTTCTATAAACCACTAAAATGTAATCAAACCATCAGAGCTATTTTCAAGCAAATCGACATTTTGTTTTTTGGTGCTCATCTAAAGAGATACTATTTTTCTAGCTGGAATGCTCACATTCACCAGAAACTGAATTGAAAGACAAGCTCTTAAATACAGAATATGACTAAAATCTTCTCAACTGTTCAGATGTTAGCAAGACACACAAACATACATACAGATAGCATTCCAAAAACCACTTGTTCGTGTTTGAGGGAGGGGGGGTTCAAAATATGTAAGATCATAAAAATTTAAAGATTAAATTCCTTTCACAATTGTTTCTCAAACATACTATGTATACAAGTATAAGAACGTAAAAAGTCACAAAAAGTACTGTACTTACAGTAACGCTGCAGTTGAAATGGCGTCCTCTTAGATACATTCGCTAACAATGTAAAAAGCTCCACAATACTGAAAGTTAGTTTGTATTAGGCCGCGCCATAGCTCAAGCGGTTAGTCGCTGGCTTCCCATCATGGCGGCCCGGGTTCGATCCCGGGTCTGGTCAAGTGGAATTTGTGGTCGACAAAGTGGCTCTGGGGCAGGTTTTCTCCGAGTACTTCGGCTTCCCCTGCCAATCTTCATTCCACCAATTGCTCCACAATCACCCTCACCTGTCATCTGGGGCTGGTACAATAGGCCAGAAGTGGCCGCAGTACAAGGGACTTAGTCCCATCCCACTAGTGATAAAAAAAAATAGTTTGTATTACGGTACTTTCTTAGCCAACAATGTCCAATGTATTTTTTTGTTTCTTATGTGATAGTTTTCTGTGAATCTATAAGAACAGACATAAAATTACTTACTAGAAGTTAACTGAATATCAGAAAATCTTTCCTTTGTTATAATTCCTGGTGCAAGTCACAGTGCTAGGCTCAAGAAACTTTCTGCTTATGACATGACTGTACCGTATTAGGATAATAATACCTAAAACAGTTTATTCTCAGTAAGACTGTTCTGGATACAAATTTTGGACAAAGAGTAGCCTGGTGGTTACTGTTTCAAGATTGACATGTGCTGTGGAAAAGCGTTTCAAGTATTTCTGGGGATGAAATTATCTTTGTCTGTGGTTCTCAGATGTTCCAAATATGCTGAATGATGTTCCAATCCTGAAGGCCATACATGACAACTTCTTCACAAACAAAAATCTTTCGTTTTGGATGCAAAGAATCTAAGACTCAGAGAAAACAGGACTGGAAATTGTCCTTGTTAGCCTTCAAAACAAGTGTTACAAGAATGTACGGGATGTATTGGAAAGTTCCCAGACTGTTACTGTTGTTAACTGCCTCCGTGGAAGATGAGTGGGGAATTCAAGGTCACACTTCCACAAGCCTACTGTATCAGTCTACCATATGACACCAAGCTATGAATATGCTTTGTTTTTATACAAGTGCTTTTTTGACTTTGTGTTTCATTTTGCCTGTGACGGATGGCAAAATCAAGCAACGTGTCGGCATCAAGTTTTGTGTGAAGCTCGGTAAATCCCCTACCAAAACCCTTGAAATGCTTCGTGAGACTTTGAGAACATTCTTTAAGCCAGGCAGCACTTTCTGAATGGCATTCACATTTCAAGGCCAGTCGAATGTCAGTCGAAGATGATGAACATTCAGGGCAACCAAGCAACAACAAAACGATAGAAAATGTTGACAAAAAAAAAATTGAGAACTCATCCACGTAGACTGTCACTGAAAAATCCATGAGCTAGCAGATACCGCTGGAATGAGTTATGGAGTTTGCCAGATCTTAACAGAAGATTTTAATATGCGCTGCACTGCTGTGAAGTTTGATCCCCAAACTCTTGACAAATGATCAAAAGCAGTGGCATGTAAATCTGTCTTGAGCTAGGAGAGAAGGCTAACGAGGACCCAACTTTTATTTTTAGGATCACAACAAGTGACAAAAGTTGAATTTACGATTTTGATTAACACACAAAGTGGCAACTGTCGCAGTGGAACAGCCCACAATCACCAAGATCAAAAAAGGCACAGCAGGTCCAGAGTTCAACAAAGAGCATACTCATTGTTCTTTTTTTTTGACGTGAAGGTGACAGTTCACGATGAATTTGTTCCTCCTAACACTATGGTCAACTCTTGGCCATGCCACAGCTCAAGCGGTTAGTCACTGGCTTCCCACCACGGCGGCCTGGGTTCGATCCTGGGACTGGTGAAGTGGGATTTGTGGTGGACAAAGTGGTGCTGGGGCAGGTTTTCTCCGAGTACTTCGGTTCCCTTGCCAATCTTCATTCCACCAATTGCTCCACAATCACCCTCACCTATCATCTGGGGCTGGTACAATAGGCCAGAAGTGGCCGCAGTACAAGGGACTTAGTCCCACCCCACTAGCATTAAAAAAAAAAAAGGGTCAACTCTTGACTTTTACTGAGACATTTTGGGACCCTTGAGAGATAATGTGCGACGAAAAAGACCTGAACTTTTGTGCAACCACAACTGGCTCCTTCATCACAATGCGACCGCCCACACGTCTCTGAAAACCAAAGAGTTTGTGATTCGCTTCATTTCCCAAATTGAAAATGAAACTGAAGGGATGATGTTTTCAAACAGTGTATGACATCCAAAGGGACTCCCAAATGGTACTTGACAGCATTAAGGAAAATGACTTACATGGTACTTCTGAAACATGGAAACAATCATGGGATCACTGTATACCTACCCAAGGAGATTATTTTGAAGGAGATGGCAGCCAAATTTCAGTAAGTTAAGCCAGCATTTCCTTTTTGACCTAGTCTGGGAACTTTCCAATACACCTTGTAAGTGAACCTATAAGTTTTTCACAAATAAAAGTCCTCTGTCATGTGAAATGGCAATAAATGTGTACAAGCCTGATCGACAGCAGTAAAAAGGTAAGGTAAGTTAAAGTTATCCCTGTGCTTATCTAATTAAGCACTATGCCATGAAGATGTAGGGGGAGTGGATGTATAGACCAATAGCAGTACAGAACTGAAACTCTAATGTTTCTCTACCCCATACAAATCTTTAAATTTAAATAACTTAAAGTTTGCAGTCTTTTGGGTTGTGACAGCATGTAATCTTGTAGATGGACATCAGCATTTTTGAGGAATATGCTACAACCTTCTTCAGGATTGACCACAATCTGAATACACACATCCTGAAAACCTCAAACTTCATCTTACGCATTTCTTATCTGCTGAATACTTGAAACCCCAAATTTTTCCTGTTGTTTAATGTTTTTCGTCTGATACATAATTTAGGAGAAACGGGCTGCAGGTCTGGTACTGGCTATTACACGTATGATTATGTTGATACCCTTAAATCTCAGTGTCTATATATGTGATGGGCTTTCCTATAAATGAGAATGAATGAAGACAATATTGAAACATGTCAGTAATACTAGAGACTACTTTTAAAATAATTTTAAGAAAATATTTAAATTTATATTAAAATAAACAAGCTTCAGTGAGTCAATCGCAATCCATTACATTAGTACTATTCCAAAGCATGTATATTAGTTCTACAGTCTTTCCACTTCAAGGTCTTCTGTTGAAAATCAAGTATGAACTCAAGTGTAGTTGATGTAAGTCACTGAAAACATTTCAGATGAATATGCTGTCTCCATCTTCAGGATAGAAGAGTTCTACTCTGAAGTTGGAAGTGTCAAGACTCCTTGGAAATGTTGGTAACATTCTATAGATTACACCTCATCACATTCAGCAGATAGTAACCTTCACAGTAACTGCTGTAAGAACCTAAAAGCTCACTTAATAATAGTCTTTTCTTTTCTGATTACCTCTTCACTGAATTTTCTGTAGTGAGTAAAGTATGGTCCTGCTAAAAGGTAGGGAAATGCTTCCTGTAACCAATTGTTAAGCCTGAAGAGTTAGCACTCCTACTCTGTATTTTAGACACCATAAAGTAAACTATTCCAATGTTATTTATAGTTTACCTCAGTCCTCCAGTTAAGGCCATGAGTGCTTCCACATTTTTTCAAATTCACCATTCACAATCATCCCCCAGTTTAATACTATACAACCCAAGTAAATGAGAAATAAGTAACTTTACTGAGCAGTGTCCTTCAGAAGCTAACAGCTGCTCAGCTAACCATGAAGTTTCCCATCTTTTATGGAACTTAAAAGTTCATTACTACAGCGACACAAGTCTGCCACTGGTAACCATTCTGATCCAGATAATTCCACTCCACGTCATCATCATCACGCTGCATTTCTCTTAAAACACTGTGTTTTTCTTTTCATTGTTTTTACATTCTATAAAAATGGCCTAAAAAGTTTGCACTTTTTACAGGTTCACTGTCACAGTA